TTTTTTTTTTTTTTTTTTTTTTTGATTTTTCAAGACAGGGTTTCTCTGTTGTCACAAACTCACAGAGATCCTCTTGCCTCTGCCTCCCAAGTGCTGGGATTAAAGGCGTGCGCCACCACCACCCAGCTTCCAGCCTTACTTTCTTCTTTTTCAAGGTTAATTGTGTGTGTGTGTGTGTGTGTGTGTGTGTGTGTGTGTGTGTGTGTAGGTACGTGCACGCGTGTGAGTGCCCACAGAAGCCGGAAGAGGGCATTGGATTCCCTGTAGCTGGAGCTACAGGCAGTTGTGAGCTGCTTGATGTGGGTGCTGAATCAATCTCAAGTCCTCTTGAAGAACCGCCAGTGCTCTTAACTGCTGAGCCATCTCTCCAGCCCCCTCGGCCTGTAAAGCTATCTTGGCCTGGATTTTTTTGTTTGGCCCAGACTCTCTCTCTCCTTAGCCTCATGCTTTTTTAAGCCATTTATTCCAGCCAACCTTAGTGCATGTCATTCCGGAATATACCGGTTTATCCTCCAGGAGAGTCTGGCTCCCTGGCAGGTGTCCCTGATTCTCTGGGGCAGTGTCAGCCAGAACCAATGCTCTGCTCTCCCAGTCCTGTCTTCACGGGTGAGCTTGCTGAAGACAGTGCCCAGGCACTGCTCATGCCTCTATCCCCAGCACTGGGTGCATTAAGAGGGGTCAGTTAACATGGGATGATCTCATTTTCCCAGTCCTCCACATCCCTTAATGCACTGTTTTTTTTTTTTGTTTTGTTTTGTTTTGTTTTGTTTTGTTTTGTTTTTTGCCAGTCTCCTGAATTCTTGGACCCTCACTTTTCTAGCCTTTGAGGGTAAGCATGCCAGGTGCCTGCTCATTTGCACCCCCCCTCCCCCGCCAGACAAGCAATGGATGATGTGTCCACACCAACAGCAGACGGCCAGAGGCCTGTGCAGCACCATGGTCGCGGCCTGCCCTCTGCTGGTCACAAGATTTCCAGGGGGCAGTAGCAGCTCAGTCCCAAGCAGGGGTCGATTCTTCATTCTGCTGTACCTCGTGAAACCCTTTGGTATTCCACAAAATAATATTGAGTCCTTCTCAGAATAATATTTAAAAATGTGCAACAATGAAGTACATCAACTATAAACGAAACTGATCATAATGGAAAGCAGGTGTCAGCGATTTGGGGAAACCGTAGCTACACAGTTTATAAACGACCAGAGTAAGGCAGGCATATACACAGTAAACCTGATCCCGCTGCACAGGCCCTGTCACTACAATTTAAGAATGAGGAAAAGCGTGCAGTGTGGAGTGTTTCCACCTTCAACCCCAGCACCAGGGAGGCAGAAGCAGGCGGGACCTCTGAGTTCGAGGCTTGTGGAGGCCCAAACAAGTGAGCCTGTTTCCATCTTGCCTGAAGATCAGAGTTTCAGCTTGCTCAAAATTGTTGCCACCACCCTGGCCAAATGTCAGAGAGTTGGGGAACTTATTTCTGCTCCTTCAAGGTTATTTCTTATTTCTGTTCCTTAAAGGTCTGTTTCTACGTCAAACAAAATTCCCAACCTAGATTCAGATCAGAGAGTTTTGCTCTCTCAAGGTTATTGTCAACAAGTATGGCTAATATCCAGACCTTGTGTTTCAGGTATTGAGAAGTAGGCCTGTTTCTACCTCAAACTGAAGTCTAAGGATCCATCCAGCTAAGTTCCTACTCCCTTGGGGAGATAACAATGGATTCCACACAGGGAGTGCTTTGGTCTAGGGTGTGGGTGTTACTTGTCTTGTTCTAGCAACAGAATGCTTAACTAAGAATGTAGCCCATAATCTTCAACTGGCCTGTTTATTTTCCTTGTATCCTATTAATGTGGGGTTTTTTTAATTGATTTTTATTGAGCTCTACATTTTTCTCTACTCCCCTCTCTGCCTCTCCCCTTCCCCCTTTAGCCCTCCCCCAAGGTCCCCACGCTCCCAATTTACTCAAATCTTGTCTTTTTCTACTTCCCATGTAGATTAGATCTATGTATGTCTCTCTTAGGGTCCTCATTGTTGTCTAAATTCCCTGGGATTGTGGTTTGTAGGCTGGTTTTATGTTTAAAAAACACCTATGAGTGAGTACATGTGATAATTGTCTTTATGTGTCTGGGTTACCTCACTCAAAATAATGTTTTCTAGCTCCATCCTTTTCCTGCAAAATTCAAGTTGTCGTTATTTTTTT